TTCAACCAGTTGATCACACTGGAAAAGACGAAGTTGAAGACCATCCATTCCTGGTAAAAAGTGACCTCGCATATTGTAATGTTTCATTAATTTAACAAGAACACAAAATGCTTCTTCGTCTGGCATCTAATTATTTACAACAAATTAATATTTCGTACATTCTTTTTTAAATTAATAAAATTGGAATTTAAAATTAAAAGTGCAAATACATTTAACAGTAAAGGTCCAACAACAAATGAAATGCCTTGACAATATCCAACTTCAGGATCGTAAATTGAATATGCTTTAACAATATTGAATAAACCTTCTTGACCTGCTCCATCCTTATCCTGAAAAAACTCATGTTTTGGAAAGGTTCTGTTTAAATCTTTTATGATCATTTTTTCATGAGGGCTTGATTGTTTGAGCAATTGAGCATATTTGGATTCCAATTCAACATCTTTAGACTTGGACATTAATTGCCATATCATACCCCGTAATGCTCGTGGAATTCCTTTTTGGATTGCTTTGGATAATTGTTGTGATTGCGTTCTTGAAACATTTTCATAATCAGATATAATTTGTCCCCAGAATTCTTTATATATAAATATAAATATAAATATAAATATAAATAAACAATAAAAATTAGCGCACAGACATGCACACATATGCCTTTATAATTACCCCAATCAATATCATCATCATCTTGTACATTCACATTAGCTTCATTTTGTGCTCTTTCAAAAAACCATTCAAATCACTCAAAATCCACAAGTTGATACTTATGATGGGCAAAAATCACCTACTAGCATTTCTTCATATAGTTCATCAGATGACAAGATAGATTTTGAATCAAGAACTTCAAAATCTAGTTTTTCATCCATTTCAATCAATCAACTAACGGATTTATCCACGGATAATGATGTTGATTCTTTTGTACACATCGAAGCTGGCACAATTAAACAAATGATGGCTGCATCTCTTGCTGAAAATCCAGAGTTAAATGATATATCTTTGGATGATGAAAATTATACTCAAGAGTCATCTAAAGAATGGGGCTCGCAGGAGTGGAATTTTCCCAAGGCTCACAATTCATTAAAAAATTTTTCATCACTATTTAGCACAATATCAAATGCTTCCTCCACAATAACTTCTCCAATTGCCGATTCTCATCATAGGTCAAGTATGTCCTCAGCATCTAATTATGATTTGTCGCATGAAAGAGAAGATCAGGCATCGCAGGAAATTTCTAAAGCCAAACGAGCCTCATTACAAAGAATTGCAGAATTAAGACATAGTTTTGAAAGAGCAC